AATAATAATAATAATAATAATAATAATAATAATAATAAATAAATAAATAAATAAATAAAAAAGAAAAGGGCCCCAGTCAAAGTATGTTATTGTATAGTAGTTTTTTGTGTGTGTGCACATTTCCTATTCAAAGTTCAGTGTAGTAGTGATAGGAGATAAATTTGACACAGCCAAGCATTGATAAACACAGATTTACAGATTTCTCATTTTGATAAGTGGGTGTGGGGGTGGTTTTTCTATGTCCAATCGCGGACGCCTACCAATGTAAACAAAATAAAGTAATTTTATATATCTTTTTATACATCTTTCGCGAAATACATAAACTTGTTTACTATATCTTTCTTCTTCTCAATCTTTGTGATCTCACCTGCTCTATTTTCTCATTGGTGTGATTCGAGTTTAACAGTACACATGTCAATATGAAAATATTTTCTGATGGAAGTTGAGCTGTGTAGTACTAGTGTTCATATTGAGGAATTTTTTCAACTGTTCAATTTCTAAACAAAATGAAAGCTCACCTGTACAAGCCCCCGTGCCAACACTTGGGACTTCATCAGACTCACAGAAGTTATACCCTCTACCAGGGCCGCAGTTATTATTGTGGACAATTTTTTGCTGAGGCGGTAGACATCAGATCAATATGACTGTCTATTTATCTGTGAAAAATCAATCTGTAGAGAGTACTGAAGTTATGAGTCAGCGTACACAAGTGAAAACTACTCACTATGACACTGTGCCGGACGTGAGACAGGTTGTGCCTTCCCCCGTCCTCGCTCAGTAATGGTCTGTGGGCCCGAATGTAAATAGCCTTCTTCATCCTACGGCTGAACCACAGGGCGTCGCGATTTAAGGACTTCCATACTGTCCCAACTGGTGGTGGTATGTTAAGGGGTATCAACGTTGATGTGTCTTGGTCTTCGGTGTTCATTCACTCTAGCCTTTAAAGACCTCGAGCTCCCAGTCTCACCGATGTATATTTGGTTGCAAACCACTGCCCTCCTGCATTTTGCAAGAAATTTCATATACATAGGACCACTGATGTCCTTCTTGTCCTTTTTATCCTTAGCGTGACTCAGCGTTTTCTTAAGCGTCTGATGTGGTTTATAGCTGCCGGTGACTTTGTGTTTTATCTTATTTATTTATTTATTTTTTGAAAATGCGCCTCTAATGATTGGTAAGATTATTTTCTATTTTTATGTTGCTCTTTTATCCGTGCGACTTAGATGCGCTTGGACTGCTCACTATACACTGTCTCCTTACTTAAGTACGAGTGATCTTGGACATCGTTATTTTGTCCAAGGACTGATGAAGTCCCCAAGAGCTGGGTTGAAAGCTTAACAGGTACGTTTTCAGTTATTGTACAAATTGAACAGTTAAAACAAGTCTCATTATGATCAAAACATTTTGTTTGGCTTTTCACAAAAAAAAAATGTGGTCCTTCTTATTTTCCCCTTTTTCATCTCTAGTAGACACGCTGGTCAGGACAGTAATACCTACATATACGAGCTTATTATTCAAAAACAAACCTATGTAAAAAAAAAACCGATTATAAGGAAACACAAACCAATCAGCAGGCCTATTAAAAAAAACGAAGTCGCTGTAGTCTTTCGTATTCATTGAGACCATACTATGAGCTGTGATGGGAGAAATGAACAGCGATATATAATATATGTGTATTGAAACACTCGATATATAAACAGAGTAAAAAATTAAGGAAATAAAATAAACACGAGGACATTCCGTGCCCCCAACCAACCACCCACCCATATACATCGAGGGAAGAGTCGGGGAGAACGAAACGAAAAAAAAAATAGTTTTTTATCACCATATCATTTTCCACATCCTGTCAACGTGTAGGCCTACCTATTTAGTTTTCTATGAATAGAAGCAAAAAAGAAGTGGAAGAAAAACTGTCAAAAAAAAAAACATTTGAAGTGAAAGACATAAATTAAGGTGAAATACCTGAAGACTTGAAGTGGTCTCATCTCCCCTTTTTTAATGATATAATTAGAGAGGGCATGGTCACAGTGAACCGGGTCGTGTATCGGGTGCAGTGATAAACAACAGCAAACCTCTCATTAAAATAAGTTCACTTGTAAATTGCAGTTGGATATCTTACTAATGAACTCTCTCCAGCGTTCACGAGATAGGTTTTGCGGTGTAATAAGTTGTACTTGTAAATTTCAACACGAAGATGCGAAAATAATTTGGCAGGTTGTTTAAGAAACCAACCGCGCGTGGCCCAGTGGTCACGGGCGGTATATAACAATAATCATTTCATAGTTTGACTGAGCTGGACCTGAGGGGAGCCGAATATACGAACTCATCTGTTCCTTCGGTTTGAATACCAAGGATGTTGTATCTGTCTCTAGTACTGTTGACTCTATTCACCGGGGGCAGGTCTCAGTATGCTGCCCCCGGGTATACGACCGGATACGGGGGTTACCCCCCGGTGTACGGCAACACGTACGGCTACAGTGGTGGGGGATATAGGTATCCTGCACCAGTAACATACGGAGGGTATAACGGTGGTTATTATGCCCCAGGGTACGTCTATCCAGTGTATCCAGGATACGGCGGTGGGTACGGCTACGGCTACGGCTACCCAGCCTACGGTGGAATTGGAGGGTACGGTGCAGGGGGATACGGTGGAGGCTTAGGGGCGTACGGCGGAGCACAAGCGGGGCAGGGCGCCTACCAGGCAGGGGCATTAGGACAGGGAAACAGGGGCTACGGAAACGCGCAGGGCTACGGCGGTTTCGGCCAGAACGCTAACAAAGGCTATCAGGGATATGGTCAAAACACTGGCGCGTATGGTGAACAGAACAATAACGGTTACACTTCGTATTCTGCCGTGAGTAAAACGTATAATGCCGTGAATCAGGAGGGGAAATACGACAACTTTGGAGGCACCGGTCAGTATGGGGCGGTAGGGAACACGAACGGCTACGGCTCCGCCAACCAGCTCGGCAACTATCAGCAGGGACAAACCGGGTACAACCAAGGTTACGGACAGGGCTACGGACAGAACTACGGACTAGCGCAAAACCAGTATGGAGCCTACGGGCTGGGGGCGGGATATGGAAATGGAGCTGGCTACTATGGCGTTGGCTGAAAACCACATGTACGTTTCCTTACCAGTCTTTTTTTAAAACTTATTATTAAACGTGAAAATCTGATTTGGTCTACCAATTTTGAATGAAATTTACTTACAAAGGGTGATAAAGAGTCAAATTTTAAGTTTAAAATGCATTCTATGCATTTTTCTGTTCCTATAAAACCTTATTTTATATTTGTTTAACACCATGCGCGTGCATTCAATGGAAAACATTAAATGAAACAGATTTTCATCGATATTCTCTTGACATTCAGTGTGCGTTAATTTTTCTCATTCATTCGAAACTCGTTTTCTAGTACACTCTTTGATCACCATATTTTATATGAAATTCGTTGCATTCTCCCACCACGATGAGACTCCGTGACCTATCCCAAATTTTGATGCCGTATTATACTCCTTTTGAAGTTAACATGTTTTCATCATGGTATATGAAAGCGTTAAAATCACAAAATCTGCTTTAATATTTTTAAAACAAAAATCTACCCATGTGCCTCTTAATAAATCATAATTTAGAAATAAACCGGACAAGCTAACAAAGCTTCAAAATACGACAAATGGCAAAGTGTTGTGCGGTGCGTGTAAAAATCCCAGATGCTACCAATACAACTTCTAGACTTGCTGTTGTAACGCTGATGTTTAAAATAGTCAGTAACCTACCAAAAAAGCCAGAAAATTACGCTACTTGGTTTAATTGGAGCTCTCAAACTTCAACCTAATTGTCTTAAATTTAATAAGCAGTATAATATACGTGTATACTTGAAAATATGAGCGGTATTATAATGGGTTTTACATTGCAAATTAAAAACTATGTCAAATCTGCTTAATGTGAAAATTCACGAGTTTTAACATCTGTTGATAATTTGTAGCCATTTAGCAATGATTTTACTTCGAAGGACAGCTATTTAGCAATGTCTTCATTTAATGGAGAGAAACTATCTCTATAAAAACAACAACAGCAAATGGATGCGGAAAGGCCTGTTTTGATAATTTATCTCCAAGTAACAATCAAGTATATATAATTTTCTTATCAAATCATGAGAGCGTAGTAGAATTGAACGGTTGGTACTATGCGCAGTGGTATACCGCCATACTGGCAATTCACTTTGTATGATTAAATTTACAGTATATATAGCCCATAATGTGGATAATTTTTTAAAGTATTGCGTGGCGTGTTCATGTTTTTGCTCAGTTTATACTGTGTGTGTGTGTGTGTGTGTGTGTGTGTTTGAATAAGCTTATCTAAACTGAACTTTTCCCTGTTTGTTTCAGAGAGCAGGGAGCTGAAGTGAGAATTCTCAGAGCTTGGGCAGTCATTATTAGAAGTCGACCAGCAACTCGCACAGTACAGCAAACACCGACTCCCTACGACTGCGAAACTGACCGCCACAGGAACTCTAGATGACACACACCTTTCCCCGAGTCTCTTCTTGGTTATTTTCTATTTATTTTATACTTTTTTAGACCTTGTAACGTGAGAATAAATTATAAATATGTATCTGACTGTTCTCTCTTACTTTTCCTTTTTTCCTATAATTAAGAAGGTTTAAAGGAACATACTGTATATTCCATCAAATATTCTGTCAACATGCATGTAGATCTAAAGATCGACATCGTGACAATTTGTACACCGGGTACTGGCAATTTTAATCAAATCTAAAAGTTAAATATTTATCAGACTGTCATATATATAGTCGTACGCACTTGAGTCGTACACATGCATAACTAATTTAATTGAATTCATGACTAAGTAGATATCGGCATTTGTTTAATTATGGTCATACTTTTACTTGGTCATTTTACAGATTTTTGTAAACAGATAGTACTGAAAAGTCCCGATTGGGTATTAAATCCCGGGATAGACGTTGAACATTAAATGGTAGTTTTAACGTTATTGGTCACATTCTACCCTCTACCTACCCTCTACCAGGGCCACGGATTGATTTTTCACTAGATATTCACAGATATGTCTCTGGTTTTTCTCTGTACTGTACTTTCGCTTTCGCAACGAAAATGTCTACATAATAATAATAAGAAGAATAACTGCGGCCCTGGTAGAGGGTACCCGCGAGTTTTATTATGTGAAGTTATCTTTTAGACTGCAGTAAAGTACCATCCTTTATCTAGAGACATATCTGTGAAAATTTAGTTAAAAACCAGTCTGTGGCCCTGGTGTAGTGACTTCTCATATTTCATATACACTGCTATCAGGGGTTTATCCAGCAAGAAGATAGTCCAGCAGAAAGATTCATAAAGTAATGAGAAAGTGCCCTTGTAAACTTTATATCGATGGCCTCCTCCCCCTCTTCTTTCATCTTCTCCTCCTTTTCTCTCTCTTTGCCTCACTCTCTCTCTCTCTCTCTCTCTCTCTCTCTCTCTCTGTGTGTGTGTGTGTGTGTGTGTTTGTGTGTGTGACTGCATTGTTATACCACGTATCCAAGACGATAAATGTTTGATAGGTATAGATTGGCTCAGGTACCGTGTGAGGAAAGATTGGACCTAAATTAAGTTTAGATCACACTTTTATTTTAAATTTCAATAGACCTTGGAAAATGTCCTTCCCTATTCTCAACAATCACCGTAAAACTTATTGCAAAGGGCGTTAATAATTTGTGCCACTGTGCTTTGTGTGATATCCAATTGCGACAGATGCCCTTTGGTGCAATCTGGTTGCTTACGTCACGAACGTCCTTCTCTTTCAGACACTGGTATTGATAAATCTTTGGACAAGCAGAGTTTCTTTACTGTACTTAAAATGTTTATGATGTACTCCGTGACTTTAAATAATCACAGAAGAGGATCAAAGATAATTGCATTTTATTATAGATGCACTTGCCTCAGATATTTCAATAATCCGTTGAATGCCATCAGTGAGAATATAAGTCGCAAAAAACAAACTCGAGACATCAAGGGCATAATAATAATAATAACCAGGAAATTCATTGGGCGGACTTACTACATTTCTATTACTCATTTCCTCGTAATGGTCAAGAGTGCCTTTGGTTATTTAGCTGTGGTTTGGTAACATACCTAAATTGATACGAAAAGAAGATGAGCCTCGTTAAAACCTAATTACTGCCTTTAATGGTTCACAAAACTATACGTCTCTATCCCCCAGACAGTCAAGGTCAAAAATGACTGGATTAAAAAAACATTAACGACCTTTTGATACTCTTTAAACCTACATTTAACATTTAAACCAGATAACGAGTAAAAAACAGATAGCTTCTGGTATAAAAAGACCAAAAGAAATAAAGAAAGAGAGAGTGGTAGGTCAGTTGCCGAGGAGGTTCACTCGTCAGCGCATCCAAGTAAGCAAACGATTTTATTGATTTTAACATTTATTTAAGAAGAGATTAATTGCTTTTAACCTTATTTAAATTTTATGTAAAATAAAGATTTATTAACCTGTGTCGGCATGATTATTCAACAATTGATTTAAAACATTTGGTTTAGAGGAGATTAATTGCTTTTTACTTTATTTGTTAATCTAGACATTATATGTAAAATAAAGTTTTATTAACTTGTGTCGGCATGATTATTCAAAAATTGATTTAAAACATTTGGTTTAGAGGAGATTAATTTTTTTATTTTATTTGTCAATCCAGACTTTACGTGTAAAATACAGTGATATTAGCTCGTGTCCACGATTAATTTAAACACTAAGAGATAAATTGCTTTTTACTTTATTTGTCAATCTAGACGTTGTATGTAAATACAGTTCTAATATCTCTTGTATCCCCATGGTTATTCATGTAAAGGTGATGTCGTTTATTTACGTTTTTTTTTACTAAAGTCATGCCGCCAGTCTAAGGTAACGTGAGACACGAAAGAATAACAAAATTTAAGGTAATGGGAATGTTATAAATTGATCTGGTGATTGACGCCAAAGCCATGCATTTGCGGGGAATAGTGCGTGAGATTGCCGATAGACATATTCTGAACATTTGACTTATGTTGATCATTAAACACTGTGCCTTTTTGTGTGCGAAATATCGTTTGAAAGAACATTTTTTCTGGTAAATAAAGCGAAATAAAGGAATTTACTTTACCTCTTGATAATACGACTTCATGACTAATACAAAAATTCAATTGCCTAAATGGCATGCTCAGTGTAAGTATTGTAGTATACCACTGCGCCAACAGTTCAAATACTACCTCACCGTTCAGAAAAGGGGAATGTTTAAAAAAATTAAACACCACGCGCGCGCGCGCGAGCACACACACACACACACACACACACACACGCACACCGCACGCACGCTTAAATATCCAATGTTTATTTTTCACAAGGTATCCTGATGATCCGCCCTGTCATCTCCCTGTTGCATCTTCTGGTGACCTTGTTGCCACTGGGGATATGCCAGAATACCAGAACAAACGGCTGGGTAGGAACAAGTAGCTACCCTCCAGCCACCGGGTATGGTTATCCGTCCAAAGTGGTATACACCTACCCCCCTCCGGGAGGATACTGGTACGGCTACCCACCTCAGAAAGGGTATTGGTACAAACCCTATACTGGATACAACTATGGGTCTGGATACTATGGATACCCCTCCAACGGCATGTCCAACGGTGGGGGTGGCGGCATGTCCAACAATGGAGGTGGGGGTGGTGCGTATATGGGGGCTGGCCAAGTATACAGTAACTATGGCAGGGGGCAAGGTGTCTACATAAAGAATGGGAATTACAAACGTGCAGGGGGCTACGGAAGGTATGGAGCTTACGCCGGTGCCGGAGAGGGTCAGAAAAAAGCGTACAACAGCTTCGGGAATGATTTCGGAGGGTATGCTAAGCAGGGCAAAAATGGGTACTCCAAGTATAGTGCCGTCAGCAAAACTTATAACGCTGTGAATAGGGAGGAAGGACAAAACACATTCAATAATAATGGAGCGTATGGGGCTCTCGGTAAACAGTCCGGACTAGGCAGTGCCGTTGCAAAGGCGAATTATGCTGGAAACTACGGTTTGTTGTCTGGAGGCCAGCGGAAAAACTACGGCCTGCAGTATGGCGCCAGTGTGGGACAAAACGGCGGTGCAGTGATGGGAGGCGGTGCGTCATATGGCGGATAAGTGAAGGTAAAAACATGTCAAAAGAGATAATAATGTCCGAAATGTTGAGAAAACAATTCAAGTACAATGCGTTCATCGTATAGAATTCCGTAGAACAAGTTAGAGACCCCATTCCCATACCTAGATCGATCTAGCAGGATAGACCCATCTCAGAGAGGATTCGCGCTAAATTGCATTGAGATTAAGCGGTTCATATGTCTGGCACGCCCACTGAAGCTGCTAAACAAGCTAAACGATAGTTAATTATCCGCAGCAGCTTCAGTAAGCGTGCCAGTCATCAAGCCGCTTGAGCTTAATGTAATTTAGCGAGAAACCCTTCGGAGATGGGTCGATCCTGCTAGATCAATCTTGGTATGGGAATTGGGTCTTACATGTATGTTGATATTGTGCTAGTAGCAGCCTAAGATTTGGAATGCAAAAACGTTATTTTTCCTCATATGTCTGTATGGCGAAGAAAATAAAATATTACTAATGGAAATTGGTACGTTAAGTATAATTCATAAGATTTCCTCAAACCAACGTCGACGTTCAATAGGTCTAGCCAGGGAATTATATCGATATAATTCCCTGGTCTAGCTAAGTTGCTTTTTACAAGTACACAACAAAGTTTGTCGTTTGTTTCAGTTATCCGTAACTAATTATCCGCCAAGAAACTAAAACTCACTCTCAGACGACACTATCTAACCGAAAACGGCAAATTAGATTCAACAGGCAGCCAAGCTCCCCTGCAGTAGTCAGCTCTCACAGCGACCGAGATTAGAGATCATCACAGCGCAATGTCCACGCCAAGCACCGAATCCTAGACTACCCTAACCACATGAACTCGAAATTGGTCGCTGTAGGGAGCCACTGTCTCATTTATGTAAATTGATATGTGACGAGCATTAAAGCTTTTAAAGTATAGGGCATCTTATCATAGTCTTTGTTCTTATTAATGAAAACATGATGTTGATAGCAAATTATTAGACACGCGATATTATTTTGTCTGTGTGTCACTTATAAAAAAAAACGTCAGTATGTACAAGTGCAGATTTCCATATTTGTGGATTTGTGTGAATGTACATAAAACAACCGGACTTCCCCCTCCTCCGCTTTTTTTTTTTTTTTGTGTGTGTGTGTGTGTGTGTGTGTGTGTGTGTCTGTGTGTGTGTGTGTGTGTGAGAGAGAGAGAGAGAGAGAGAGAGAGAGAGAGAGAGAGAGAGAAATGCATTCTTCCAATTTATGCATCAACATATATATCTTCGGAATACTGTTGTGGTGGCAAATAATTGGAGGCTTTAAGAAGTCTGAGAAGCAGGATAATATTTCGCGATTAATGATTCATCTACATTGAAAATTATTTTTCATTTTCGTAAGATAGATTCATTCTCAAGATCAATCATTTCTCACCTTTTTGTTAATTTAGGGTACATACTATAAGTACTAGGGAGGGGGGGTAACCCTCATTCTTTAATGTTGTTCTATTTGAGCCTCAAATCAGTTTTTTTTTGTTCAGAGCGTGGGATAAACCCACGCTTTACTTAAGAAAAGAAATGAACTGAAACGATCGCGTTTTTGACGTTGTTTTATGAACAAATGTGATGATTGCTTTAAACAAATGTCCACCTTGGTAAATAACGGTAAACTTCACACCCCTTTGAAGCCGTCGCGTCTTTGCAATTCATCAATATGGGAGAATATGATATTAAAAACACCGCAGGTAATTTGTCTTATGTCTTACAAGAGGGGATGGTTTGTTCATTTTGAACTGATATCTCCATTGTCGTGGGTGGGTTGCGAGAAAGGCTCTAATGCGCCCCCCCCCCCCCCGATCCTCTTGAAAGAAAGAGCGAATAGGATGAATGCAGGTTAATAATGGGTATTTAACAACACAAGGTTAACAAAATGATGGATAAAAAAAATTAAAACAAAACCAAGTACCCTAGCTTTCATTTGTGTCGTTTTAGTCAATTAATATTAACATTTGGTGATATTGAATGTCCTTTTTCCTCTTTGATATACTGCATGCTGAATTTCTCAATTCTTATTTTAATTTTTTTTTCTGCATTACTCAGACAAAACGGTATACGCGTACGGTATCATAACATCTGTTCTGAACATTATATATGACCTCCTAACCAACTGATATGCTGGTCAGATGAAAGTAAAGGTGGAAACGAATATCACTTGTAAATTTAAGAGCACAGAGTGCCAAAATGCGGGGCGATGGAAGTTACGATCTATCTTCATTTTTGCTCGTAGGCGTTCACATGCATAATTCATCTGGGAAAATTATTCATAGTGAAATTTTACATATAAACTGTTTCCTTTAGATAACGTTGTTCTGAAATATTGCTGTTTTTCGTGAGGCAAAACGAAAAAAGATGTTTCTTCAAATTTACTGTTTAACCACTGATAAATGAATTGCGACCACTTCTTAATTTCGTTAACAAAATTTAACTAGAATGTGAGTATGCAAGGGTAAGGTAAAAGATCAAACATACTTAAGATATAAATTAATTCTTATGATAAAAATTTTAAATAATGCCAATGTTATATGTCGTAGACACCTTTGAAGCTAAATGTCATTTCAGATATATGGTTAGTATTGTGTACATGGCGGACAGCAAAACGTGACCAGGTTACGTACATGTAAATATGTATTCACGACAATTCAATTTTCCTACAGCTTAGTCGGTCACAGGACAGAAATCTAGCTTTAAATTTTTGTCTTCTTGGGATTTTTATCTCTTTCGATCTCTGTGCTTTGGTCATATATACTAAACGAAACTATGCAGTTCACACAGTTGGTGACTAAGAAAATCGGTCATAAAATAATTATTATGTAGTATAAAAATCACCCAGGAAAACTAAGCTGGGTGTTATAGTCGGCGAATCAAAGGCCGAGCTTTCTTGACAAAGTGAAGTCGAACGAGTCCATCACTTCCTTGACCCAACAAAGTGGTTTTTCAACACCGTATAATTACAAGTTAGGGGCACTGGAATAACTCCGACCAAGATTTACTTTATCTTGAACCAGAATATCTAAGCTGCAATCTTGATAATTCGGGATTATGGTAATAAGTGGTCTTACTGTATTGCGTGGAAAACATAATTCAATCAAGATGCCATTTAACAGATAACATGAAGGTACTGAAATAAATATAATTTAACCGAAATGCTCAATTGTTACTATAAAGAATTTGCTTTGATTAGCGGTTAAACTGATGATTAGCTATAGAATATGACCACTTTTCCGTTCTGTCTAGATCAGATATACAAAAACTGAATATCCTTTTCAGCCTGTTTTTAAACAAAAAAAAAACAAAAAAACAAAAAAAACAAGTATTTGTTATTTACCATTTGCAATTTGCGCTAACTTTGTAACCTGCATCATATGTACACCATGGAATTGAAACATATTTGTATTTTGTGTGAGTACCTTTCAACTATCAATTTTCCATTCCCATTCAAACCAAACGTACAGTGTAGCAAAAAGACCAACTTAAAAATATTACATGAACGTCGATTTGGACCTTAACATTGTACATCATTAATGTTGTATAATTAATAACTCCTGTTAAGTCCTTCCAACTTCTAATTTGGTATGTTCTCCTTAAGACGCTATCGCATTTAGTTCCCACATAATTCACATCTGTGTTACATTATACGGAGATAAAACCATGTCGTGTTAGCAGTAGCTTGGTCAAGGAAATGGCGTAGAAACGGTATGTAGATTTAATTGTTCCTCATTACATTTTGATGAGGTTATGGTAATATGCGTATATCGCATCAGGCAAGTAAGTGTCTTGTGCGGTATAAAAGTGCCGAGAGTCCATTGAACGGTCACTTGAACTTCTTTGCCTGAAGAGTCGACCAGCCAGCAGCCCCCGAAACTAACGGCAAGATCATGGCGGGTTACATCAAAGTGGCCAGTGTTGTTGCAATGCTGTTCTCTGGAGTGCTTTCTCAGGGTTACATCGGCGGTTATGGTGGTGTTCCCTACGGCAAAGGCTACGGGGGTGGTTATGGCGGATACGGCGGTGGCTACGGCGGTTATGGCGGTGGCTACGGCGGTGGCTACGGTGGCTACGGCGGCGGCTATGGCGGCGGCTACGGCGGCGGTTATGGCGGTGGTTACCCCATTGCTCCAGGTTACGGCGGCTACGGCGGCTATCCGATCTTGGGCGGCTATGGTGGCGGTATCTACAATGGCTATAACGGCGGTGCCGGGTACGGAGCAGGTGGTTATGCCGGAGGCGGCGTCAACCAGGGTGTGTACCAAAATGCAGGCAAGTACGGCGCCAACCAGGGCTACGGGCAATATGGCGGCTACGGTGGCTTCGGACAGGGCACCAAGAAAGGTTTCAACGACTTCGGTAGCAACGTAGCGAACTTCGGGCAGGCCGCCACAGAGGGATATGACAAATACAGCGCCGTCAGTCAGACATTCAACAAGGTAGAAAAGTCTTCAGGTTTCGGCAGTGCTAACTCTAAAGGAAACTATGGTGCTGTGGGCAACCAGAATGGATACGGCGCAGCTAACACCAATGGCAACTACGCACAGGCTCTTGGTGAGGGCGTCCACAAAACCTATGGTGCGCAAGGCAATGCGAAAGGTGTCGCCCAGGGTGCCTATAACGGTGCCCAAGTCGGAAATTACCGTGGAAACGGCGCTGGTGTTTCCAATGTTGGAGGCTTTTACGGTTAAACGTAAGTAACATTAATTTGTTGTTCATATTTCTCATTTCGTCATCTGAAAGGAATTTTTCAGTTTCCAAAGTGCGCTACTTAAGAGTGTTATTACATGCTTTTATCTCATTATTGCAAAAGTAATTAAAATATAAAATTGTTTAATGACAAGAGGAAGTCATATTTTCTGCAGTTGATTGGTAACATTTCTTCTCAGGAAAAAAAATTTTAAAAACTGACATTTTACATTTCAGGGCTCTACGAAAATATGTGCAGTCTACACAGGATCCTTGGTTGTCTGATACTAGAAGTCAAACGAAGCCAAAGCACAGCAAATGTCCGCCCAGCACAGCACCGTCTCCCAAAACACAACCCGCAAGACTTCGAAATCGACACCAGGTAGAGCCTTTGTTGCCTGGCCACGTGACCGTGCGGAGGTCCACGTCAGAGACATTCACGTTAAATGCTCGAGTATTTATTAAGCTTTACATATTGTGATCTGACTTTTCAACGCAATCGCAATGAACATTATTGTCATTATCATCATGCATAAAAGTGCAGCGTTATATAATAGATATTGTGAAATTGTTAATATAAATGAACTTGAATCGGTCATCATTAAATGGTGATAAAACTTTTAACATGCGTTTCTTCTTTACTATCAAACGGTTTGAGAGCAGCTGGTATATTATCACTTTTTGAAATTCTTGCCGACTAATATTCTAATATGGAAGTTCAAAGAAATGCCGTGTGAAACTCAACCTTTGGCCTGTCTAAATATTTTCACAGGTTTTTATGCATCTAGAAAACTATCTAATTACGTATTAATTGACCAATTTTTTATTCATTCCTTCATCGGAAAATTCACCTGATTATTTATTTACTCATCTATTGGCATTTATCATTATATAAATTCTAAATCACAATTGAGGGAAATATCATTTCCCAAACACGTAAATAACTATGTAATTAGTTAACACTTATAGCCCTTAAATATATAAATAACACATGAACGCGTTCAATCAACGTATTGAGAATACGTGTGCGGTATTTAGAGTTGAACTAAATTATTCCGTATCTGTTTGCGGTCTTAGACAAAAAAAGGTTGTTTGATTGTTAGCTGCCTGTGGTCGTACTACTAAATGCTGGTCTTCAAAGTAAAAAAAAATACTGTTTCCAAAAATTATAATTGAGTCTTTAAGTTTGCACATTTAATATTTACCTGGCAAGCAAAAAATACGCTACATTTTCTTCATTTTGTTAACAGCACTGACATTAACTGAAAATTAATTTTCACCCACACAAAGGTGCTTACAAGTCATAGGTCAACAATCAGATGACAGCGGACATTGGTCATTTCAGATTCAGGAAACGTCACGCACTAAAACACTAATAATACTAATTAAGAAAATCCTGATAAACGGTGAACGCCGCTACAGCTACATTTTGGACGTGACGCCATTAGTTAATGTATGCAAAACACCACTTTATCCACTTTTATTGGGATAGGATGGGGGATATAAAAACATTTTGGAGCAAAGCACAAACACACATCGTTGGGAGACTGGCCACGACACGAACAGGGTTGATTCCCCACAGTCCCTAGGCAAGATGGCCGCCAACTCAGGGATTTTTTGCGTAGCAGCAACATTACTAGTATTTCTCCTGGGCAGCGCTCATTCACAACAGTACAGTGTGTTGCCCTACAGAGGATACGGTTACGGCAGCCCTGGTTATGGTTATGGTTACGGGGGTTACTATCCCCCTGGCTACGGCTATGGAGGGTATGGCGGCTATGGCTACGGAGGGTATCCGGGATACTACAATGCTCCCTACTATGGGGGCATTTACGGTGCCGGGGCGGTCGGCGGGGCCGGGGCGGTCGGCGGGGCGGTTGGGTACGACGCAGGGAGGGGCGTCTATACCAATACCGGCGCCTACGGACAGAACCAAGGCTATGGCAACTACGGAGGATACGGAGGTTTCGGCGAGGGCGCTAATAAAGCCTATAACGGCTATGGCCAGAATTACGGAGCCTTGAGGGAGGGCGCAAATCAGGGTTACAACAAGTATAGCGCTGTCAGCAAGACGTACAACGCCGTCAATAAAGTAGACTCGTTCGGAAATTACGGCGCCAACGGCAACTATGGAACTCAGGGTAACCAATCTGGCTACGGAAACAAGGCCACTCAAGGACAGTACCAGCAAGGCTACGGCCAGGGGTACGGTCAGGACTATGGGAACCAGGGTGTCGGCTACGGCGTGGCACAAGGACAATATGCAGGAGCCGGGCGGGGTTTTGGTACAGGGGCAGGCTTTGGCACCGGCTACGTCGGTTGAAGTGAGTAATGGCGTATTGTGGAAATTTCTATTGATATTTGTATATATACAAGCGATTTTTCATTAAAGTTAGGTAGATTATTTGTAATACACGAGTATGATCTTAATACATTGTGTTTTAAATATCTTTAGTTGACAAAAAATTGAAACACCGACCTGAAACATTTTTTCTAGATGGCAAATGTGGTTCCGAGTTTTGGTTACTAAAATGCTTTTATTAGAACACTTATTTGTTTTATTCAAGGAAAAATCTTATTTCAGTTGTTCAATATTTTGCATCTTGCAGCGCCTGAATGAAAATCTTACTGTAATTCATTTTTTAAATAAATTTTCAGCACACAATCTAAATCGATAGATTATCAAATTACAAAACAAATATATTCAACACTTATTTTCATTGCTGTAAATTTTCAAAATAATTTAATGTTAACTCTTTTCTTTACACTTATGTCGTTCGTATTTCAACTGGAATTGATTCTTGTCCCGTTGTTTCGTTTTAGTGTCCACAGAAGCCAAATGAATACAGCGCCGCAAGTTCCCGGATGTCAAAACTAGAAGTCTCCCGTCCGCACAGCGCACATGTCCAGAGCACCGACTCCCAATCTCTAATTCAAAATACGGAACTTCGAAATTGATCCGAAGTTGAACTTGCAGCCGCATCTATTCTTGACTCCGACGAATCACAATCATTTTGCTTGTTTGTTTTGTACGATTTTGGTGTTTGCGTTGTTTAATATGTAATTTCTTTTAGTTAAAAGCCCTGTTAAAACCATGTCCGCGGAGTGGCACACGCGATGCGTGGTCCACTTAAGTTATATGACAAATGTAGCTTGATTTCTTTGGCATAGATTGCTGAAATTCTCTAGAAAACACAGTTATATCGTTCCTTACGTTGTTAAGTATGATTTTGTCAATAATAATCAAATATGTTTATTGTATACCGAATTTGTCTTGTTTTCATTGTGTTAAGCAACCAATTACGACAAAAAACAGGAGTCGTCATTAAGAAGTTTAAGCTTTTTCTCATATTCACAAAAGAGAAACAAACGGGCTTGCCAAACCGTGTTTGTCCTGTCCTAAGAAAATGCAATTTGATTGGCCAGTGCGACACGCGGAAATTTGCAGACTGACCCTTAATAAGACGATGCACATATGCGTTGATTACAGGCTTTTTTCTTCACACTTTAATAAACCTGACCTGTCCGGAGGGAGGTCGGGGTAAAATTATGCGCGGTAAAAACAGTTATTTAAGATCTGCTGAATAATTCATTATACTTGTACATTTAAACGTATATAAATATTAATGAGACAATTAAAGCTAGCTCCAGCAACCACATGAAAAATTGATATTTGGTCTGATAGAACTGAGAAATATCAGGCCCGTAGCCAGGGGGGTCGGAGGGTTCGAAAGAACCGCCCTTTTTGCTGGGAAAAGGTCCACTCTGGGTAAAATTTTATTTAGGTACATGAAGTTTTTATAGAAAAAGGTCCACTTTTTCAGAAAAAGACCCCCCTTTTGAAATTGCTGGCTACGGGCCTGAATATAAACGAATTTATGCTATATATTTCTCTGCATTGTCCTTGCTTTTCCGGGTTTATTTTTAAAATTTATTAAGTCATTTCCGGGCTTCGCAGAAAAAAGATTGATTCTTTCAACAATCAATGTCATATTTGACTCGATTCTTTTTGTAACATTAAAGAGTTCCAAGTTTTTATTTTTCTACATAAGAAATGGACTCTTCTATTGCTGAGCTGAGTGGACATGCATTCGTTTTCTATTTCTTCTTATCAGAAGGAAACTGAGTATTCATATTCCAGAATGACCCGCTCAGATGACATACGGTATATATTGTGCATCATCAACATCAACGTCCCGAGAGATTACTAAGAATTTATCTCTAATTTTATAATCTCGAGCTTAAATATAGATACGATTCATAAAATAATCTGTTGACTCTGTCGTAATGTGTTGCAAAGTAAAGGATGTGGAAATTTGAATTTAAACATTATTTGGACACGAATATACAACACAATTGCAGTCACTGCTGACCCGTTATTTTTTCTGGTTTTAACATAAAATTGTCTGGTTTGAACAACAAAAAACGCAAGTCTTTTACCATAAATAATTTATTAGAAACGTATGCTTTGGCTATATTTCACATATCAAATTATACTTATTAAGTTAAAGCTTTATAGTTAACGCCATTGATAAGAAATGAACAAGTGACGACAATCTCTTTGGAGGCTCATTTCTTGAGCAATCAATGATCCTTTTTCACAGTAATCAAAGATGAGTGCAGCGTCAAATCAAGTCTTTAATGTTCTCACATATCGATACCAATGACGCCACAAAAAATGGTTATTGGATAATTTTCGACGTCACATTAAGTGGCTGGACGACGTGCCGACTTGCCACTTACGGACCTCCTTGGACACCAGGGAGATTAAACGTGGGCTCAACCTCACGTGCGGTCAAGGTCGATGACGATGGAGAAGGACACAAATGTACGTCAGACAAATGGAGATACGGGAGTCGGTGCTGACTGCGGACATTTTCATGCACATGCGCTGTGCGGGGTCGTTTGTCTTCTAGTGTTGACCGTAGAGGGAACCGGGGAAAAATACTCCTTCTGAATCCTGTGGGCGAACTGCAACACTGAAGAATTAACAGGTTAAACCATTAATATCGCACTGAAACTAAAGATATTAAAGCCGACTAATCGTCGATGAATAGGGCTGTACATAGGATTTTAACGTGCCGACTATGATGAATATATTTAGAGATCTATTAATTTGCATACAAGTCCACCAGGGTCTACCTGTGACTACAGTTAATCATACAGTACACTGCGACCACTGGTATTGATAACCATCTTTCAGTCGACACGCTCTGTGTGCAAGAGGGAGTTCAAATCTCAGCCAGTCAAAACCCATACTATATACTGCATTTCACAGTCTAAAATATTTGTTTTTGTTTTTTTTTGTATTTCACGATTTAAACACTATTTAAGATATTAAAAGTGTCATAAAGATGAGAACATAATTTTATTTTACACACACGTGGACAGTAAGATGCACAAATGAAAGACCCACGCAACTTAATGCAAACTAACCTCTAGCCATACAATCCTCCAACGCTGCCTATTCCACCACCATAGCCAGCACCGACGCCCCCTTGAGTAGCGCCATACTGTCCTTGAGCTACACCATATTGCTGGCCGTAGCCCTGGTTTTGGCTGCCGTAATTTTGGCCGTATCCCTGACCGTACTGGGCCTTGTTGGCCTGAGCCCCATAGCCACTCTGGTTGCCGAGAGCACCATAGGCACCAGAATTGTCGTAGTTGCCGAATTTGCCTTCCTACTCGGATTGAAATAAAAGAGAATATGTATTTTAATGTCTAATATTAAAACAGTGGCTAATTATTTGCAAATATTGTTTTTCTTTTAATTGAATTAAACGGTACAATCCGTATGTAGGTTATCCAGTTAAATACGTCGAAAACTGAGATTATGATATTGTATAGAAATTACAGAAAGCAATGCAGATATCTTATTTTCATCTACTAGTGTACGCCAACCCACCTTTTCCACAGCATTAAAAGTCTTGCTCACTGCTGAGTACTTGTTGTAACCAGTAGCTGCTTGGTTCCCAAAGCCAGCCTTTTCCTGCCCATAACCGTTGTACGCTTTATTTAAGCCCTGTGCTGCGCCTCCGTAGCCGCCGTATTTTGCAAGGTTCTGTGCGTTACCGTATTGTCCGTAGCCTTGAGCAACACCACGGCCTTGAGCTGCATTCCCGTAACCTCCGTAGCCGACACCTTGCTGCCCATAGCCGCCGTTGTATATTCCACCGCCGTAGCCACCGTAGCCGCCGTAGCCGCCGACATAAGGGACGGCACCGTAACCTCCGCCGTAACCACCATAGCCACCGCCGTAGCCGCCGTAGCCACCGTAGCCGCCGTAACCACCGTACCCGCCATAGCCGCCGTAACCACCGTAGCCACCGCCGTAACCACCGTAGCCGCCGCCGTACGGGACATAACACAACCCTGCCCCGATGACTGTAGCAAATACTGCCAGAATCATCACCTTTTCCCCGCCTCCCCTCATTGTTAAAGCTGTATCTTAGGCCCGTGTAGCCACCGTGGGAGTGAAGGCAAATTTCAGCACTTTTCCATTTTATAGCAAAAACTTTTCAGTTTCATGACGCGCGATCTGCATATATTACAGTAAGTGTAACGGTTGGTCAAAGTTATTTCCTGATAAAAACCGTTATTAGCACTGACCACCAGGTAGTTGCGTGCCGACTAGGACAATAGATCACCATATTCAAAATACTGTCTTTTATCTTGGTGATTATTCACAGATAATCGTTCCCAGCAATTATGCTCTTTCAAACAAAAACCGTCTCCTTACATCCTCATACTTTTTAAATTGCGCGCATTTTTAAATAATATATTGTTGTATTTAGCCAAGTCTGAATGCATATACACCAATCTAACAGGAAAAAGGCCAAATATGCTTCAATATAGCAGACCATTGCCACGTTGATGCATTTAATTGTATGCAGTGGGTTTCAAACAAACGGAACGGCGTTGATTATTATGCACGTTCCCACGCACACACATGTGTGAGAGCAAACTTCCCCATTTAAAACCAGAAAACAAAGTGTTTCAGTACTGCTTTTAATATTGGTGCTTTTAAAACAAAATTTGCATGGGTACTTATAATTTTTTTCTAATCTATGTCTGCCAAGGGTACTGAGGACCATGTGTAGGAGATATGGACTATGGGCGTACTTCATCTGTGAAGAAAATTGACATAATATCCAAAAACAAAAATTTCCCATGGGGTCTATATTGATTGAATCCAAAGTTCAAATCACCATAGCAACAAAACTAACATGGATACCTAACAATTTTTCAATCTTAATATGGATGCAATAGTGTCGACTATTGCATGTATGGAATTAAAGAAAAATCTATCAGACAGAAATATCAAAAGGAAATTAAGAGTACAGTTATGATAAGTTTATTGCTTTTATGCACGTGCATCAGAATACTTCATCTGGAGTCATCATGTCTTGTACTAGTACATGTAACACGGATGTGTAGGCTACGAGTTATAAAGTGCAGTTTTGATACCTGTAGTTGCTTGATAAATATCTTTACGTGTCTGAATACATATTTTATTAATACACCTCACCTTGTGATGATAACATAACAACCAATGTTATTATGTATTCATTTAAGCTATACTCTACTTCTTTTTAATTATGGGAGTCTAACATCTTACACCTCCAGACACCCTTACTGACGTCATGACTATGACGAGGTTATGGCAAAGCCAGTCATCTTCTCGTGACTTACCTTATCTGGCGTTTATCAGTGAAAATTACAGTTATCTTATTAATTAACTTGGTTGCTTCTTTGCGTGCCTGTGTTCATAAAAACACCTTGATTGTTGAGAACTTTTTGGTGAATTGTCGCCTTCAGCTGGAGGTCACGCCAGAAGGGGATGAGAATCAACTTGAAATCCCATTTCGCGTGACGTCATGTTATCGGACTTGACGACCTGGATTTCAGGTGGTGACTTTCAACTTAGAAAGAACTATTTAAGGAAACATTTAAAAGTTGCAATGCACTTAAGCCAATAAATACGCATAAAGTCCAAACATTAACAAATTGCATGACAACAAATTGTTTTGATTGCCAAAGCAAAACGGGCGTAAGTCAGAATTTGCAGATAAAGCCCAAATATTGTAAAAAAAAGAAGTAACACTGTGAATATTTCTGTCAAATAGCTCTCATCTTGTAAGATTGTGTACGTAATACGTGAACACTTATGGCCGAAAATATATACTGGCGTGACTTTTTAAATGTTACGAGGATATAGCATATATAAAGAATTACGAATAACAAATGAAAATATAAGTATAGCGTCTGTATAAATAGGCGACGCAGTAGAAACCGACACCAAAGACTCCATATGTCGTAACCTGCACTGAATTTTCCAACTGACATTTAGGATACTCATTGCTTATAAATATTAACCAGTCGATTATTTTAGGGTCAATATTCTTTTTGTTGTGTTAATCAAACGTGTGTTAGTTGTTTGACTAGAACCCTAAGTTTTCGGACTCGCTCACCATCGGAAATTAAGCTTTCGATACAGATGTATTTTCGGCCTGATGTAAAATGATACGCCTCTTGGAAGTTGAGTGTCTTTCTTCAATTTAGGAATTGCATCCATGGATCCCAAATTTTTACGAGAAAAACAGTAGCCGAATCCCGGAGATCGATTTAACTTCTCGTGGACTTTCACTAATTGTAGTCATATTAACTGAATGACAAGCTTGCTCGAGCAGCTTGCAGGTGATTAACTATCGAGGGCGAAAGACTTCTGGAAGCTTTTTCACTTCGTTTTGAGTTCGACCGAACTCACACTAAAGTTAATCACCTCCTAGCTGCTCTGGGAGGCGTGCCATTTACTTAAACTGATTGCATTCAGCAAGAGTCCCCGCAGAATTGATCGATCTACGTAGAACAATAGTTTCATTGGGAACGCGTCCTTATACACTGTCCACATGTCCATAACGCAGTAAATATCAGTTTTCATTCTTAAGCATATATTATTCTGGTTTGAAGCTTGAATTTGTCATTTCTCAAAAAGACCAGGTTACCAGGAAACCTGCAACTTGACATTGATTAATATATTTTATATTTAAAGGCTTCGTGATCTGCATTGTACCGGGTTATACAGGTACTTTAACTACTTTGACAGCTTACGTGTTACCTATATAGGAACAGGGGCGGGCAGCCCGAACGCATGGCTAATATAGGAAACGATCCACCTCAAATGTGGCCGACCGCGACGCCTACAACTGTCATTAAAGTCGCAATCGCCGTTAGTGTCAAAATTGACACTATCGCCCCGGGCGCTGGCTGAAGGGACCTTATCTTCGACATTAATCGCAATGCAAGTGGTAATTTAAACGCCTTCGAATGTGGTGGTTTGATATTATCGTATAACTGGAGACACTTACACTGATCTTATAGACGTCTACTAAGAGAGGCCAACAACTAGTAAGTGCAGTTCAATCTCTTTATTAATTGCAACTTCTTTGAATATTTGTCAGTTCTTCGGGTCATTTCTCTCCATCTTCAATGGTAGTAAGTTTCTGATATTTAAGAAAACAGTAGACTGTAAAAGGGGACAGTAGACCATGTGTCAATGCAATAAGGAAAGTGTCATTGATATTTGCTTTTATTAATGCCACTACGACATTTCGTGAATTTTCTAAAGTCTAATCTGCAATAGGTCTTAGATGTTCAATATCTTCCTTAACTCACTGAGTTTTAAGATCTGCTTAGACAAATTTTCTCTCTCCCTAAGATGAAGATGATGAAGATACTGAAATATTAAAAGTGCATGCTCTGTATACGTTATGAATACGCGTAATACGTTAGATTCCCATTGTTTAAGTTTTTTTTCTGTCATTGATTAACTTATTATTAATCAATATAAATTTGTATACTGTAATGTTGGGAGCCCTCTATACATAAACCTATGGTATTCGTCTTCACAATAAGCCACCAGTAAATTATTTGCAGTTGTCCGCATTTAAACGACCAAATAATAATAATAATATACTGCGAGTAGTAGGCACCGGTTGTATTGAAAAGTGACATACAAGTCAGTGCGTGTTACACCTGAGGCGGTTCATTGCCTTAAAGGTAAAACCTGAGTGATACAAAAAACTTAATACCAGGAGCTTATCAAAGATTCTGTGTCTCAAAAACATAATCTACCAAACATGATACGTATAGCTCTAAAATACACAGGTTGGCAATCTCAGCTAATAGGTATGCATTTTAAGCTACGGCGTCCACCGACTTCGAGCTAGCGGTGAATTCTTGGTTAATGTCCCTCATCAAGTATCAGATGCTTCCGTCAATTTTGGCTGTAAGCCAACACAAAAGGAGAAAAAGTATGCTCCGACGGTGTAGTACCCTGTAATTGGTTCAGTGGCTTATATACATTCTTGTACATGAGCAGGGTGACTACCACTGGTTGTGATGGCGTAAATTTGACACTATCAAGATTATGATGAAATGACGCTGAAATACCTCGGCAAAATCAACCAAATCCTGAGGACAGACTGCAGTCAGACGAGTTGTATTCTTATCAGTTACGAGATCTCGCCCTGCCATTATATAAGGCAATATATCAGGTGTCAGTTTTTCATTTGCAATCCATCACTCTATATATTATAAATGTGTTTTGCGGTGAAGAGTCAGGATGGGTGAACACAGAACCCCCGTTTATTGACCAAGTGGAGAAATTCCCACTAGACACCGGTACATCAACGTGAAGGTAGGCGCTATGGGTCTTTTCTATACACAAAGGGCGCATTCAGATATAAAGCTAGATCCCACCCGGTGTGGATGGAAAACTCGTCACCAGTGATTGTAATTGATTTGATAATGAGACCAACTTCTGCAGGGAACTTCTAGTATCTAATTGATTTAAATACTGTTTGTTGAAGGGGGGACCACAAAGAAATAACATGAAATTATCATGGTTATGACTTCGTATCAGATATTTGCTTCTTGGACGTAATTTTGTCCATTTTTGCTTGTTCTGTTGTTAAATCGAGGACGAACCCTATCTGCCTCTAATATACTGCTGATTAGCAGTAAAGGTGAAATGGAGAAATAAGAGACTAGCTCGGATGAGGTAGGAAGAACGCGTCGGGGGCACCTAGCCGACCTGTTTATCAAATTCTTTGTACATCTCTAGCTCCACTTTCCCAGCTGACAAGTGACACTCGGTTAAAGGAACGCCTAAATTTTGTAGGCGTGATCTGATTATAAATCATCATGCTCTAGGGTAGCTAATCGGTTTATTTTTAACTTTAAAGTTATAATGCAGCGTTTTAAACGATGCCTATCGTCACAATGGACCGTCAATGATATTAAAAATGTCTCAGTGGAAAGTGATTTTTAGAGAGGAACTGATCGACCAGGACCGCTCAAGGTCATATTAACATCCGCTTTAAGATTATAACCACACTGCATTGTGACATGCTTATTTTGGGCTAAAAAGAACCCACTAGGACCTCGTGATAGTTTAAAACTCATTAAACAACGGATGTGACATTTTCCACAGTTTCGTCCTGATCAGTGATTAGGTTTTAAATGAGAAACAGGCACAGAGTCACTTCGGTTGCATGTCGATAATCAGTTAGAACACGTTTTGTTTTAACAAATAAAATTTTAAAAGCAACTCGCTTTGTTTCCTCAAACACCTTTCGAGGCTCTGCCTGTCACCTGTATTGTCAAATAGAGATTTATTGAGAAGTAGCCTAAGGGATAAAATTTTTCTTAGCATAATGTGCATATCTAATTAATAAAAGTTATGTTTTATGTTTACCTCTGAAACATATTAACAAACTTAAATTATCGTCTTGTTGCTTAAAGCTTCAATACTAGTATATCCAAGGAATACCCTAGTGCACATCGGATCATTGGCCTACATGTATATCACGGTAATTGAGCAACTGAAGCGGAGAAGGAGGCACGACTTCCTTTGCTGCGTAAAGTTACATTTTATTACTACATTGTACACCGGTGCTAATGTTCTTAACCCCACATAGTGAGTCATCGTTTCTGCCTTTTATAAAAGATGTTTACTGTCTATCGCAAAATGCAGATATAACAGTTTTAAAATACGAGAAGAGTTGTCTAGTTTGTGTGGAGACAAGGTCTCGGAACTTATATGTACGCTTGGGGTAATATAATTAAATATTTGTGTTCAGTAATAATACTGAAATGTCTCTCCGTATCAAACCAGCATATGATGTCGGTGAAACGATGCAATGCATATTATCAACCACAAATCAATTAATTATTCCCATCAAGAAAATATTTTGATAAAAAAAATAGTTCTACTTTCCATGACAATGTTCTTTAAAGTACATCACCCGTACAACGTTTGTAACTGATCCAACTTTGAAAAGTTCAGCGTTCCAATCACTGGCTTTGGATAATTTGGCCTCTTAAAGAGCAGTAAGTCAAGATAGATACCGATGCATTAGAAATAGGAGAAGAGCCATTTCAGTATTAAGGACACTCTTTGGTATGGTCTTGCGTGGAATTCAAAACGGGCCGATTTTTGACTGACAAAGACGGGTTTAGGGTACCCTCTGGCTTTAGCTATTTGAAAAATCAAATCAAAATTTCAAACCGCTGACGATGCATAAAAAACTGCTTTGAAGCTGCAGATGGATGATTCATCTTCACCAGAGTGCGCCAAATTGCACCTTTTCAACTAAATAATATTGTTAAGCTTCTCCCTTAATATTCCATGTCCCTTCCAATTGATACCTATTGGTGCTAGACCAGCGTTTTTAGATTTGTAGGTATCGGTAACTCGAATTGATGAATAATTTAATTGTTTGAATTTCAATTAGTGATGTGGATATTCTTACATCTAACATAAAAATTTCGTAGAGATATATGGACGCACTGAAGCTGGTATAGTAGTAGGTGTGACCTTCTGTCCACTGAATGATTTATAACCCGGGTATTGTTATACGTTATTTAAGAAAGGGCAACATTCTGCTAATCGCTTCATCCACTCTATCCAGACTCCCGGTGAATTAGTGTGATGCCTTTACGACCGTCTTCCACTTGCCTCTTTTACAGTCTTCGATGAAAATCCCCTCACCGTTTTTCTAAATCTTAATCTTTTATCCACCTTTTTTTAAATTTTTTTTAAATATTTGTTCAAATTCAAAAATCTGAAAAGGCACACTTTGCGGCGTAGATACCAATTCTCCATGTAAAGATCCTCGGATAGGTGCTCAACAGGCTAAAATGATAATAATAAACATGAAGCATTTCAATTGTTTACAGTCATACGCGTAGTTCAATATGATATACATGAAATGTTATAATGAATTTATTTCGTTTCAGCTTACACTGTAGACCAAACGACGTGTGTCAAGCCACAACTACGAAACAAAGGACCAAATAATGACCAAAAACTGCCACACCCATGTCCCCTGGCGCATTTTGTTCATTCTCACAGGAGTTCTGTTGACTTATATGACTATGCGTAGTTCCATAAACATAAACTGCCTCCAGTCAAGTAAAAAAGACAACGCTGGACGAGTACCGCCTTCAGTGCAAACAGGACATTCTGCCAACCACTCTGCACGTGTTCAGAGCTCAATAAGGGGCAACAGGCGACTCCACTGGACATCTCTGAAAAGAATGTATACGTTTAAATATAATTTAAAGGGGAGAATCTTTACGGGTCAATATGGTTATGTAGATACCACGGCGTTGATTTCGACCTCTATTGTACACACGTTTCCTCAGGACTTAGTGAAGTCAAAATTTGACAAGAATTTTTTTCAAGCTGTCCGTCTCATGTCCCCAGGTATGACCATCCTCCCGGACGGGAACATCTTTTTAGCTCTCCGTGTCAACGTTTCACCGTCTCCAAAACTACACCAAAGTAGAATTTTGAAAAACTACCTCTATATACAAACGTTAGACTCCAAATACGAACCTGTATCCGAGGGTCGTCTGGTAAATATCCCATNATGTTTTCTGAAGAATATGTTCCGTTCAGGCCATTCTGACGGCATGAAGCAAACCCTTTAACTACGTTGACAGCTTACGTGTTACCTATATAGGAGCAGGAGCGGGCAGCTCGAACGCATGGCTAATATAGGAAACGATCCACCTCAAATGTGGCCGACCGCGGCGCCTACAACTGTCATTAAAGTCGCAATCGCCGTTAGTGTCAAAATTGACACTATCGCCCCGGGCGCTGGCTGAAGGGACCTTATCTTCGACATTAATCGCAATGCAAGTGGTAATTTAAACGCCTTCGAATGTAGTGGTTTGATATAATCGCATAACTGGAGACACTTACACTGATCTTATAGACGGCTACTAAGAGAGGCCAACAACTAGTAAGTGCAGTTCAATCTCTTTATTAATTGCAACTTCTTTGAATATTTGTCAGTTCTTCGGGTCATTTCTCTCCATCTTCAATGGTAGTAAGTTTATTTAAGAAAACAGTAGACTGTAAAAGGGGACGTATTCAGTAGACCATGTGTCAATGCAATAAGGAAAGTGTCATTGATATTTGCTTTTAATAATGCCACTACGACATTTCGTGAATTTTCTAAAGTCTAATCTGCAATAGGTCTTAGATATTCAATATCTTCCTTAACTCACTGAGTTTTAAGATCTGCTTAGACAAATTTTCTCTCTCCCTAAGATGAAGATGATGAAGATACTGAAATATTAAAAGTGCGTGCTCTGTATACGTTATGAGTACGCGTAACACGTTAGATTCCCATTGTTTAAGTTTTTTTCTGTTATTGATTAACTTATTATTAATCAATATAAATTTGTATACTGTAATGTTGGGAGCCCTCTATACATAAACCTATGGTATTCGTCTTCACAATAAGCCACCAGTAAATTATTTGCAGTTGTCCGCATTTAAACGACCTAATAATAATAATATAGTGCGAGTAGTAGGCACCGGATGTATTGAAAAAAAGTGACATACAAGTCAGCGCGTGTTACACCTGAGGCGGTTCATTGCGTTAAAGGTAAAACCTGAGTGATACAAAAAACTTAATACCAGGAGCTTATCAAAGATTCTGTGCCTCAAAAACATAATCTACCAAACATGATACGTATAGCTCTAAAATACACACGTTTGCAGTCTCAGCTAATAGGTATGCATTTTAAGCTACGGCGTCCACCGACTTCGAGCTAGCGGTGAATTCTTGGTTAATGTCCCTCATCAAGTATCAGATGCTTCCGTCAATTTTGGCTGTAAGCCAACACAAAAGGAGAAAAAGTATGCTCCGACGGTGCAGTACCCTGTAATTGGTTCAGTAGCTTATATACATTCTTGTACAGGGTGACTACCACTGGTCGTGATGGCGTAAATTTGACACTATCAAGATGATAATGAAATGACGCTGAAATACCTCGGCAAAATCAGCCAAATCCTGAGGACAGACTGCAGTCAGACGAGTTGTATTCTTATCAGTTACGAGATCTCGTCCTGCCATTATATAAGGCAATATATCAGGTGTCAGTTTTTCTTTCGCAATCCATCACTCTATATGTTATAATGTGTTTTGCAGTGAAGAGTCAGGATGGGTGAACACAGAACCCCCGTTTATTGACCAAGTGGAGAAATTCCCATTAGACACCGGTACATCTACGTGAAGGTAGGCGCTATGGGTCTTTTCTATACACAAAGGGCGCATGCAGATATAAAGCTAGATCCCACCCGGTGTGGATGGAAAATACGTCACCAATGATTGTAATTGATTTGATAATGAGAGCAACTTCTGCAGGGAACTTCTGGTATCTAATTAATTTAAATACTGTTTGTTGAAGTGTCTGTGTGTGTGTGTGTGTGTGTGTGTGTGTGCAAAGAAATAACATGAAATTATCATGGTTAGGACTTCGTATCAGTTATTTGCTTCTTGGACGTAATTTTGTCCACGTTTGCTTGTTCTGTTGTTAAATCGAGGACGAACTATATCTGCCTCTAACGTCATGGCTTTATACTGCTGGTTAGCAGTGAAGGCGAAATGGAGAAATAAGAAACTGGCTTGGATGAGGTAGGAAGAACGCGTCGGGGGCACCTAGCCGACCTGTTTATCAAATTCTTTGTACATCTCTAGCTCCACTTTCCCAGCTGACAAGTGACACTCGGTTAAAGGAACGCCTAAATTTTGTAGGCGTGATCTGATTATAAATCATCATGCTCTAGGGAAGCTAATCGGTTTATTTTTAACTTTTAAGTTATAATGCAGCGTTTTAAACGATGCCTATCGTCACAATGGACCTTCAATGATTTGAAAAATGTCTCAGTGGAAAGTGATTTTTAGAGAGGAACTGATCGACCAGGACCGCTCAAGGTCATATTAACATCCGCATACCACACTGCATTGTGACATGCTTATTTTGGGCTAAAAAGAACCCACTCGGACCTCGTGATAGTTTAAAACTCATTAAACAACGGATGTGACATTTTCCACAGTTTCGTCTTGATCAGTGATTAGTTTTTAAATGAGAAACAGGCGTAGAGTCACTTCGGTTGCATGTCGATAGTCAGTTAGAACACGTTTTGTTTTAACAAATAAAATTGTTAAAGCAACTCGCTTTGTTTCCTCAAACACCTTTCGAGGCTCTGCCTGTCACCTGTATTGTCAAATAGAGATTTATTGAGAAGTAGCCTAAGGAATAAAATTTTTCTTAGCATAATGTGCATATCTAATTAATAAAATTTATGTTTTATGTTTACCTCTGAAACATATTAACAAACTTAAATTATCGTCTTGTTGCTTAAAGCTTCATTTGCAATACTAGTATATCCAAGGAATACCCTAGTGCACATCGGATCATTGGCCTACATCACAGTAATTGAACAACTGAAGCGGAGAAGGAGGCACGACTTCTTTTGCTGTGTAAAGTTACATTTTATTACTACATTGTACACCGGTGCTAATGTTCTTAACCCCACAAAGTGAGTCATCGTTTCTGCCTGTGTTTACTGTCTATCGCAAAATGCAGATATAACAGTTTTAAAACACGAGAAGAGTTGTCTAGTTTGTGTGGAGACAAGGTCTCGGAACTTATATGTACGCTTGGAGTAATATAATTAAATATTTGTGTTCAGTAATAATACTGAAATGTCTCTCCGTATCAAACCAGCATATGATGTCGGTGAAACGATGCAATGTATATTATCAACCACAAATCAAGTAGTTATTCCCATCAAGAAAATCTTTTGATAAAAAAATAGTTCTACTTTCCATGACAATGTTCTTTAAAGTACATCACCCGTACAACGTTTGTAACTGATCCAACTTTGAAAAGTTCAGCGTTCCAATCACTGGCTTTGGATAATTTGGCTTCTTAAAGAGCAGTTAGTCAAGATAGATACCGATGCATTAGAAATAGGAGAAGAGCCATTTCAGTATTAAGGACACTCTTTGGTATGGTCTTGCGTGGAATTCAAAACGGACCTATTTTTGGCTGACAAAGACGGGTTTAGGGTACCCTCGGGCTTTAGCTATTTGAAAAAATCAAATCAAAATTTCAAACCGCTGACGATGCATAAAAAACTCCTTTGAAGCTGCAGATGGATGATTCATCTACACCAGAGTGCGCCAAATTGCACCTTTTCAACTAAATAATATTGTTAAGCTTATCCCTTAATATTCCATGTCCTTCCCAATTGATACCTATTGACCAGCGTTTTTAAATTTGTAGGTATCGGTAACTCGAATTGATGAATATTTTAATTGTTTGAATTTCAATTAGAGTGATGTGGATATTCTTACATCTAACATAAAAATTTCGTAGAGATATATGGACGCATTTAGCTGGTATAGTAGTTGTGACCTTCTGTCCACCGAATGATTTATAACCCGGGTATTGTTATACGTTATTTAAGAAAGGGCAACATTCTGCTAATCGCTTCATCCACTCTATCCAGACTCCCGGTTAATTAGTGTGACCGTCTTCCACTTGTCTCTTTTACAGTCTCCGATGAAAATCCACTCACCGTTTTTCTAAATTTTAATCTTTTATCCACCCTTTTTATTTTTATACCAATTCTCCACGTAAAGATCCTTGCGTGGATAGGTGCTCAACAGGCTAAAATGATGATAATAAACACGAGTTATTTCCGTTATTTACAGTCATACACGTAGTTCAATATGATATACATGAAATGTTACAATGAATTTCTTTCGTTTCAGCTTACACTGTAGACCAAACGACGTGTGTCAAGCCACAACTACGAAACAAAGGACTAAATAATGACCAAAAACTGCCACAACCATGTCCCCTGGCGCATTTTGTTCATTCTCACAGGATTTCTGTTGACTTATATGACTATGCGTAGTTCCATAAACATAAACTGCCTCCAGTCAAGTAAAAAAGACAACGCTGGACGAGTACCGCCTTCAGTGCAAACAGGACATTCTGCCAACCACTCTGCACGTGTTCAGAGCTCAATAAGGGGCAACAGGCGACTCCACTGGACATCTCTGAAAAGAATGTATACGTTTAAATATAATTTAAAGGGGAGAATCTTTACGGGTCAATATGGGTATGTAGATACCACGGCGTTGATTTCGACCTCTATTGTACACACGTTTCCTCAAGACTTAGTGAAGTCAAAATTTGACAAGAATTTTTTTCAAGCTGTCCGTCTCATGTCCCCAGGTATGACCATCCTTCCGGACGGGAACATCTTTTTGGCTCTCCGTGTCAACGTTTCACCGTCTCCAAAACTACACCAAAGTAGAATTTTGAAAAACTACCTCTATATACAGACGTTAGACTCCAAATACGAACCTGTATCCGAGGGTCGTCTGGTAAATATCCCGTCACCCATTGTAATGGATGCAGGGATACAGTATGGCGGTCCAGCGGACCCAAGGGCTTTTACTGTTCAGAATAAAACAATGGTGTTGTACAACAGAGTTGAGGGGGCCTCTGCTGTCTGCAGAGACAACAAAATGATCGTCATCAGACAGTATATATACAGCGTGAAGAAAGACAACTCGGTGCCAATAACCATCCGTGACATGCCAACGCCGTGCTGGGAGAAAAACTGGTCTCTTCTAAGTTTTTCTAATCGACTTTCTTTTATCTATTCACTTGATCCATTGCTGATAACAGAATGCAGCCACACGGGCCTTTGTCAATTCAAACCTGGCAATGGAGAGAGAAACTTCAGTAATGCAGCTAACAGAATACATCATGCTGGCCTGCCGGGTATTCGTGGAGGAACACCATTCGAAGAGTACCAGTGGCCGTACGCAATATCCGTGGGCCACACGACGTCGGTATGCAACTCACCATATAAAGTATATGATCTATACTACGCCCATTTGGTGGTATATAATATAGAAAAACAGAAAGTGGTGTACGTTAGCACACCGATTAAGGTGCACCCTAACTTTATGTCCAGGTCGCGGCCCCCCAGTCCTGTCATAGCGCTGTCTTTTATCTATCCGGTGTCCCTAATAGTACGAGATTCGGACACGCTGCACGTGGGTGCACACATTGACGACGTAGAGAGCTTCGTCTTTGAAATTACAGGCGTGAGAGAGTTAATGACAAGGATTGCTGAAGGGGATCTTAACAGTCCCATAGCTCAGGGCGCGGTGAACAACTATGTGGATGACATGCAACTTTGCAATATACAGCGGTATTCATAGCGTTGACCTGTCAAGTGCAAATTATTTATTGTATCATCTTTGATATTGCATTGAACTATCAGTAGGCCTCTGTTAGATTGAAACGAAAGCTAAGAATTTGTAAGACCTATTGACTTGTAGTAAACGTGCTCCACAATACGCGCCTGTATTAACGCCTAGTGACGATGTGTGTTTTTTAGCTGGCGTCAAAACTCTATTTTTGGGCCAGTAAATACAGTAATTCATTTTTACTTTACATTTTCATTAACACACTGAAGCAATCTAATAACGGGTAAGAAAAGTATTAATTATCTTGTTAACAAGCTCTTATTTCCACTTCCTTTTGGAAGTGTCACACTCAATATTATCTAAAGATATATCATAGTGATTTGTTTTTATACCTCATTGAATTATAGGTGCTACGAAACTTATGATGTTTACTAGACGTTTAGTACTTTACGTTGGGCAAAAATGAAAAGGAAGACTGTTGACATAAAATGCGCCGAAAATGCGAAGTGCGCTAAGGATGCCACTCTTCAATCCCTTAGAACATGCGCGTCCAATTAAAGATTATATCTGTCACCAACCTTCTTATTAATGCCGTTGAAAACTGTAGTTTTCAATATTCCCGGCAATAATATCAATAATTATGACATACATTTTACGACTGTGTAGTAACAAATGTAAAACACTAATGCCTGCAGAATGCAGGCAAAGGATGCTGAAAAGAAAAACGATTTAAGAACCGAATTTCATACCTTTGTAAAGTATATTAAGATATAAAATGGGTATCCTATCTGAATAATTACATACTTGGTTCAGCATATCTGTAGTCTAGTAAATAAGTCCGCCTTACAGTGGGAATATTTACCACCACCAACTGATTTTTTTTATTCAGCCACTGATTTATTCCACCTTGTTCATTAAAAAACACATTTAAAATTGCTTCGTATTTGATTAAGTTATAATTTAACCCTTCTGGTTCATATCTGCTGTGATCTACAATGATCAAATTGTTCAAGGGTGCTGCAGTACCCTCACAAATATCAATACTTTTTAGATAATCGAACAAATCACGCACCTGGCTCTATAAATGAACTAGCTTCTTCCTCTTGTCTCTAAGAGCTCACATTTTTGTTGACAGAAACATTAAAATGTTGAAAACATTTCTGCTGCTGAACGCTGCAGTGTTGGCAAGTGCCACTTATTACCCGTACATGTACAGCACTGGTAATCCAGGTGGCGTTGTCTACGGAGGTGGTTTCTTTGGCGGCACTGGGTATGGTGGAATGGGCAACGGCAACGCCAATGGCTATGGTGGAATGGGCAACGGCAACGCCAATGGCTATGGTGGAATGGGCAACGGCAACACCGATGGCTATGGTGGAATGAGCAATGGCAACACCAATGGCTATGGTGGAATGAGCAA